AAAAAAAAAAAAAAAAAAAGCCGGGTGCAGTGGCTCACACCTGTAATCCCAGCACTTTGGGAAGCTGAGGCAGGCGGATCATCTGAGGTCAGCAGTTTGAGACCAGCCTGGCCAACATGGAGAAACCCCGTCTCTAATAAAAATACAAAAATTAGCCGGGTGCGGTGGCTCACGCCTGTAATCCCAGCCCTTGGGAGGCTGAGGCGGGCGTATCACGAGATCAGGAGATTGAGACCATCCTGGCTAACACGGTGAAACTCCGTCTCTATTAAAAATACAAAAAATTAGCTGGGCGAGGTGGCAGGAGCCTATAGTCCCAGCTACTCAGGAGGCGGAGGCAGGAGAATGGTGTGAACCCAGGAGGTGGAGCTTGCAGCGAACTGAGATCTCGCCACTGCACTCCAGCCTGGGTGACAGAGTGAGACTCTAAAAAAAAAAAAAAAAAAAAAAAAAATTAGCCGGGTGTGATAGCACATGCCTGTAATCCCAGCTACTTGGGAAGCTGAGGCAGGAGAATCGCTTCAACCCGGGAGATGGAGGTTGCAGTGAGCCGAGACGGTGCCACTGCATTACAGCCTGGGTGACAGAGCGAGACATCGTCTCAAAAAAAAAAAAAAAAAAAGGTTTAGACAAAATTTTGTTATGTGTTTTTTACTACAATAATACTAAAAATAAAATGCACCCAATGATTATTTTTCATTGCAAGGGTACTAAAGTAAGAGTTAGAGGCAATAGATCCATTGATTATTTCAGTCACATGGTTACTTAAAACTACTTTCCTACCCTAGAGGAAGTGTTCCAACGACATCCACATTGTATGATTCTTTCAAGTTAAACCCAGCTGAAATGCCAGTTCCCATTACCACCTAAAAAGACACAAATCCAAATGCACCTTTAGAAATGAATGTTCAAATACTGCAAAAATCAGCTTCAAATATGTTAGTCAAGTCAAATCTATTCTCACCTTTAACATTCAGATTTAAAAAGAATTACCATTAGCTTCAACAATTCTAACTTCTCTTAATGACCCATCCCACATAATTAAAATGAACTCTACAGTTTATGTCCTGGAATTTTCTTCATGCTTTGTCCTTTTCTCCACTGAGGTGTCTGGCTAGTTGACTGCAACAGAAAAAGGTCATAAAGCCTTTCAAATGTTGACCTTACCTTTAGGGTGGTGAAATGAGTCTGTGGCTACAACGTTATAAATAAAGGATATTTAACTCTGTGCTTTGAGGGTGGTAAAATGACACTGTATGATTACAAAATGTACGTCTGGATTTAGAATCCTCCTGGTGATCCTGTTTCCAGGACAGCAGCCCCAAGTGTGGTGATAGGGCCCCAGCAGCAACCCATAGCTGTCTCCTCCCATTTCAGCTACAAAGTCAGGGTAGAACTGTACATCAAACAGAGGGTCACGGTACATAAGACCATCCTGGATTGGCAGGGCATAGATTTACTTGGGGTGTAAAGTACAATCCCTCATGAGTTACAAGAGAAACATAACAAAAGGTGAGATAGCAATTTGCTCCATGCCCAGGAACTACTGCCTGTAGAGCTTTCTGAGAGAGTTATCCAACAGAGAAGAAATCAGAGCTGGCCAGGGAAGGAAGCCAGTCCCTCCTGAGGAGGGCCACTGCAGGAAACAAATAATAAGGTAAGCTTATTATCAGAAACAGCAGCCTGGGAGACCAGGGGCATGGGGGATTCTGGCTCTTTTGATGGAAGGATCCTTTTCTGTTGAAGACAATGATTTTCATCACCCTTAATTGCATTTTTTGTGCATCTCTAACTAGGGGAGTGCCTCAAATATTTAAATCCACACAATATATATGGCTTAAGCTCCTGGAGCTTTACTTTTATACAGTGGTAATTTAAACCATTGTTTTCTTATCAACACAAATAGATGTATTATAAAATTGAATGCAAAACTCAAAAAATATTTTTATAATAAAAAATAAATTTGACACTTAAAGGGAGTCATAAAGATGCTGTCCCTAAACTTTCTAGAATTCTGGGAAACCATTACCCTGGGAAACATGTGGAAAAGTCTTTAAAGGGAATCTGAAGCAGGTGTAACCCAAAGCAGGAGAACCAGCTGTTGTCATTTACTTCTGCTAGGGAGCGCCTGCCTTCCTTTCACTTGAGGTGCTCAGAACCTTTGCTGTACTCAAGTCAAAGCAGGGAACCCTGTGTCACAGCCCCAGTGAGAGAAGAGGTTTGAAACTGTTAGCCCTCGCAAGGGTGCTCAGAACCTTTTGCTGTACTCCAAGTCAAAACGGGAACCCTGTGTCTAGCCCCAGTGAGAGAAGAGGTTTTGAAACTGTTAGAGATATATTTTGTTTTGTTTTGCCTGTTAAAAGGTACTAATGCCATATAGACAAGACTGAAAAAAAAAAAAAAAAGTTTGAAGGTATTGGTTTCCTTGTGAGCTACACCAGCCAGTTGTTTTCATAGCTAGAACTTTTTGCTATAATTTGGATCAGACACCTATACTCTTCATTTCTTTTTTAAATTTTTAAATTTTTTATTTTATTATACTTTAAGTTCTGGGATACATGTGCAGAATGTTACATAGGTTACATAGGTATACATGTGCCATGGTGGTTTGCTGCACCCACCAACCCATCATCTACATTAGGTATTTCTCCTAATGCAATCCCTCCCCATGCCCCCCACCCATGGACAGGCCCCAGTGTGTGATGTTCCCCTCCTTGTGTCCATGTGTTCTCATTGTTCAACTCCCACTTGCGAGAACATGCGGTGTTTGGTTTTCTGTTCCCGTGTTAGTTTGCTGCAAATGATGGTTTCCAGCTTCATCCATGCCCCTGCGAAGGACAGGAACTCATCCTTTTTTATGGCTGCATAGTATTCCATGGTATATATGTGTCACATTTTCTTTATTCCATCATTGATGGGCATTTGGGTTGGTTCCAAGTCTTTGCTATTGTGAATAGTGCTACAACAAATACGTGTGGATGCGTCTTTATAGTAGAATGATTTATAATCCTTTGGGTATATACACAGTAATGGGATTGCTGGGTCAAACGGTATTTGTAGTTCTAAATCCTTGAGGAATCGCCACACTGTCTTCCACAATGGTTGAACTAATTTACACTCCCACCAACAGTGTAAAAGCGTTCCTATTTCTCCACACCCTCTCCAGCATCTGTTGTTTCCTGACTTTTTAATGACCACCATTCTAATGGGCATGAGATGGTATCCTACTATGGTTTTGATTTGCATTTCTCTAGTGACCAGTGATGATGAGTTTTTTTTCATATGTTTGTTGGTTGCATAAATGTCTTCTTTTGAAAAGTATTCATATCCTTTGCTCACTTTTTGATGGGGTTATTTCTTTCTTGTAAATTTGTTTAAGTTCCTTGTAGATTCTGGATATTAGCCCTTTGTCAGACGGACAGATTGCAAAAATTTTCTCCCATTCTGTAGGCTGCCTGTTCACTCTGTTGATAGCTTCTTTTGCTGTGCAGAAGCTCTTTAGTTTAATTAGATTCCATTTGTCAATTTTGGCTTTTGTTGCCATTGCTTTTTTTGTTTTAGTCATGAAGTCTTTGCCCATGCCTATGTCCTGAATGGTACTGTCTAGGTTTTCTTCCAGGGTTTTTATGGTTGTAGGTCTTAATGTTTAAGTCTTTAATCCATCTTGAGTTAATTTTTGTATAAGGTGTAAGAAAGGGGTTCAGTTTCAGTTTTCTGCATAGTGTTTAATCCATCTTGAGTTAATTTTTGTATAAGGTGTAAGAAAGGGGTTCAGTTTCAGTTTTCTGCATAATGTTTAATCCTTCTTAATTTTTGTATAAGGTGTAAGAAAGGGGTTCAGTTTCAGTTTTCTGCATATGGCTAGTCAGTTTTTCCAACATCATTTACTAAATAGGGAATCATTTCCCCATTGCTTGTTTTTGTCAGGTTTGTCAAAGATCAGATGGTTGTAGATGTGTGGCGTTATTTCTGAGGACTCTGTTCTGCTCCACAGGTCTATATATCTGTTTTGGTACCAGTACCATACTGTTTTGGTTACTGTAGACTTGTAGTATAGTTTGAAGTCAGGTAGCGTGATGCCTCCAGCTTTGTTCTTTTTGCTTAGGATTGTCTTGGCTATGCGGGCCTTTTTTTGGTCCCATATGAAATTTAAAGTAGTGTTTTCTAATTCTGTGAAGAAAGTCAATAGCAGCTTGATGGGGATAGCATTGAATGTATAAATTACTTTGGGCAGTATGACCATTTTCACGATATTGATTCTTCCTATCCATGAGCATGGAATGTTTATCCATTTGTTTGTGTCCTCTCTGATTTGTAGTCCTCCTTGAAGAGGTCCTTCACATCCCTTGTAAGTTGGATTCCTAGGTATTTTATTCTGTTTGTAGCAATTGTGAATGGGAGTTCACTCATGATTTGGCTGTTTATTTTTGGTGTATAGGAATACTTGTGATTTTTGCACACTGATTTTGTATCCTGAGACTTTGCTGAAGTTGCTTATCAGCTTAAGGAGGCTTTGGGCTGAGATGATGGGGTTTTCTAAATATACAATCATGTCATCTGCAAACACAGACAATTTGACTTCCTCTCTTCCTATTTGAATACCCTTTATTTCTTTCTCTTGCCTGATTGCCCTGGCCAGAAGTTCCAATACTATGTTTAATAGGAGTAGTGAGAGACGGCATCCTTATCTCATGCTGGTTTTCAAAGGGAATGCTTCCAGTTTTTGTCTATTCAGTATAATATTGGCTGTGGGTTTGTCATAAATAGTTTTTATTATTTTGATATGTTCCATCAATACCTCATTTGAGAGTTTTTAGCTCGAAGGCTGTTGAATTTTCTCGTAGGCCTTTTCTGCATCTATTGAGATAATCGTGTGGTTTTTGTCACTGGTTTTGTTTATGTGATGGGCTATGTTTATTGATTTGTGTATGTTGAACCAGCCTCGCATCCCAGGGATGAACCTGACTTGATCATGGTGGATAAGCTTTGTAATGTGCTCCTGGATTCAGTTTGCCAGTATTTTTTTGAGGATTTTTGCATCGATGTTCATCAGGGATGTTGGCCTGAAATTTTCTTTTTTTTGTTGTTGTGTCTCTGCCAGGTGTTGCTATCAGGATGATGTTGGCCTCATAAAATGAGTTAGGGAGGATTCCCTCTTTTTCTATTGTTTGGAGTAGTTTCAGAAGGAATGGTACCAGTTCCTCTTTGTACCTCTGGTAGAATTCGGCTGTGAATTTGTCTGGTCCTGGACTTTTTGTTTTTTGGTTGGTAGGCTATTAATTGCTGCCTCAATTTCAGAACTTGTTATTGGTCTATTTAGGGATTCAACTTCTTTCTGGTTTAGGCTTGGGAGGGTGTATGTGTCCAGGAATTTATCCATTTCTTCTAGATTTTCTAGTTAATTTACATAGAGGTGTTTATAGTATTCTCTGATGGTAGCTTTTTTTGTTGTTGTTGTTGAGGCACAGTCTCATTCTCGCTCAGTTGCCCAGGCTGGAGTGCAGTGGTTTGATCTTGGCTCACTGCAACTTCTGCCTCCCAGCTCAAGTGATTCTCCTGCCTCAACCTCCCGAGTAGCTGGGACTACAGGCGTGGGACACCATGTCCAGCTAATTTTTAAAATTTTTAATACAGAGGGGGTTTCTCCATGTTGGACAATAAGGTCCTGATCTCTTGACCTTGTGATTCACCTGCCTCAGTCTCCCAAAGTGCTGGGATTACAGGCGTGAGCCACCGGGCCCGGCCAGTAGTTTGTATTTCTGTGGGATCAGTGGTGATATCCCCTTTCTCATTTTTTATTGTGTCTATTTGATTCTTCTGTCTTTTCTTCTTTATTAGTCTGGCTAATGGTCTATCTATTTTGTTA